CACTTGGGCGATCTACCTAGGCGAGAGGTCTTTTTAAGGGTAAGTGGCCCCTATTCTGGCGTCACAGACGTGGAGTGAACCCAGAAAACTTCACGAGGCCAGTCCGTCCGGGCGATAATATTCATAAAAATGTAAACATTAAGATACAACAAAAGATACAATTATAGATATATATGATAATAAATTAATTATAACAGTGGATGTTTTTTAATTAAAGAAGTTTTTCTAAAAAGATAAAAACAATATCTGTGATATAAATTTATTGATTTGTGGTAAATATAATAGTTTATTTTAGTTTTCTGTTTTACCTGATATTCTTTAAACTCGACATATATATTTTGCAGAATGCAATCAGCCAATCGGATTAGGGAATAAAGATATATTAAAGAACTCACAGACAAAAGTAGAACATAATCTGAAAGACTCTACACATTACGATGCAGACACATTCAGATTTAGCAATGAGCCTGAACGTCTGAGTACTAGCTCAGCCACTGTAAGAATAGAGGTAAGTACAATTCGTATTATCTAATAACTAAGAAGCAGAAATAGCTAATTAATATATTAAAAAATTCAGACATGTATTGCGTAACTTTTCCAGTAACAGTTAAAATTGTGTGCAGTGCCTCTGTAATGGAATTTATTTTAAAAGATTTTATATTATAAATAATTTTGGAATGTAAAAAAAAACATAATTTTGAAGACAGAGATAAGTATCATAAAAAATTGTAAATGCAAATAAGAAATGAAATCTTCATTCTCCCACTCGAAATACGACACATTATTTTCCGTGTGTCTCCGCACCCCTGAACCTTTACCACAAAAATTTAATTTTATTTATCCACGTAATAAGTAAACCTTCCTGAAAAACTTTCGGGAATTCTGGACTAAAACCACAAGAGTTATTCAGCTTCAAATTGGGTGAACAAAATCGTACTCCTTTCTATGATTTTGTAGCATTCATACATTTAAAAAATATCCACATTTTTTTCATTTTTAGATTAATGATGCAACGAATATTCGGTTACCATTACGTATTCGGCCTATTCGGCCGAAGGCCGAAGGCGTAATGGTATTTTACCATTACGCCCTCTAGGTATTTTACCATTACGCCTTTTTTAGGTATTCGGTATTCGGCCTATTCGGCCGAATACCGAATACCTAAAAAAGGAGTGAGAAATCACAAAAACAGTAAATTAATCATTTTGGTAACTTTTATTAATGCTGAACATACATTTCGAGTTCGAGAAAGCGCAATTTTTTGCTTATTTACGCAAAATATCGAAGGAAAAGTAATATAACTAAGTTATTTTTTGAAATCAAAAAAGGTAACAAATGAAATGAAAACGACGTACTTATTATGTACTTTAGTCATCTATATACTCGTATATAAAAGAACAAGTCCGGTAGAATAATTAACGCAGAGCCAAAACTACTAGTGCTAGAAGATTAAAAATTTGAGGGTGTGTTTCTTTTGTAATGTTTAGACGTGATAAGAAAAGATTTTACAAACTTCAACCCTAAAGGGGTGAAAAGGATAAAAAATTTGCATGAATGTTTCACTTTGTGGGCACATTAGATCGAAACTTGGTGATAAAATTTGAAAAACATAATGATCTGTAAAGAGTTTTTATGAAATTATCCTTTATTATAAACTTGAAAATTAAATTAACTTTTTTGTTTTATCGTACAAAATTATTTATCATAACTGAAGGTCCAGACGCTTGGTAGCTCGAACGGCCCCAGGCTTTCGCCCGTGCAAGTTTAGTGACTTTCATTACAAGCATTTTGCTTTCCGAAGACTATGACAACAATTGTTTGGCATTGACGGCTGCAAATTTCGCGCCAATAGGCTGCTTCGGCTTGTTCTATCAACTCAATTTTGTATTTATTTTCACATTTTCACTTCGCGGTCTTTCTTTGTTCCTTTTCCGTTATTCACATTTCATTGTTATCCACATTTGATATCATCACTTATCACATACTGCCATGACGCTTACGTCTGTCCGCTACAACTGTCAAAAATGAACGCGATTGAAAAAGCGTAGTGACAGTGGGCCAATAGAGAGCAGAGTGTGCTCTATACTGTTATACACTATATTATACATATAGTATAATATGTATACTATATATACTATGACATACTATACACCAAATATACTATTTGTTGCATCACTAATAAAAATATAACAACTTTGGAAGGTCATTTTTGAACTGAACACCAAAATTTCTCCGAATTAAATACATAAAATGAGTTTGCACAAATTATGTGTGGATTAATCGATCGGAATGACATTTGATGTGTGTCATTCGAAGATAATGATAGAAAGATATGAAAAATTTTGTCCATCTATTGTAAATAATTTAAAAGGTTTAAAAAAATTACATTGGCATATGATTCTGCTACGCACTGTATAACATCTCAGAAAATAATATTGTCAAAGCAGAATTTTTAGCTCAAACTTTGCAAGTCTGGAATATATTATACAAAACAGCAACAAATTGAACCTTAAAATAATTCCAGGATAGTCAATTGAAAATTCGATCATCTATTGGAACTTCTAACGTTTCGATCTACATAGGAGATCCTCCTCAAGATTCTTTAAATTGGAATGCGTAAATTGGAACGTTTTTAAGAATTATTTATCGTATAAACGACAAGTTTTAGCTATTATAACACCGGCCTAGCCAGGTATGCCGCAGACAACGACATACAAGCCCATCTAGACCAAGCTTCAATCGTAAGATAATCTAAGCATGAAGACCAAATAAGGACAGTGCAAATTCTGAAAATATTCAAATTTGTAGAGCAACCGCTGCATTAATTTCAAAGAAAGACAAGTATTTTATGTCTGGCAATCATTATACTTAAGAGAGCAATCGAATTAAAAAAATATTTTGGAGAAACTTAAATTCGATTTAATCCACGTAAATTATTTAAAAACTTTGTAAGAGAATTTTCCTTTACTGATATCACACTTGCGTTCAGCCAGCCTCACTTTAAGAGATCGTGTGGTGGCACCCATGTACAGTACTTAAGATCACGCTGGGATCTATTGTCTCTAAGAGTAATTCTATAAACGCCAGGAACACTAAGCATGTCGGCGTTGTCATTTCCGTTTCTAAAAATTTATTAATAATGAGAACAAGCCTATATTTTAATGTTTCACCTCTGTGACGGGCAATTTTTTAATACAGTAGAGTCCCGAAAACTCGGCTAATGTGGACCGAAGGATGGCCGAGTTTGTGAAAATGCCGGGTTATCGGGAATGGGGTTAAAAAAATAAGTACGAGTGTTTCCTCAGAAAATACTGTACTTATTACTTAAAAAAATAAGTACGAGTGTTTCCTCAGAAAATACTGTACTGTACTTGTATGTATTGTTTGCTTGAGAATACAACACAGAATAAACTGCCCAAATACCCTTAAACAAAGGAAAACTACGTACAAAGGAAAGCATAGAGCCTTTACTGCATGAAAATGAAAATTAAGAAATATACTGTGTACAGTAATTTACCTGATAAAACAGACCTCAGAAAAATACTTTATGAGGCATTAAACTGTCTGTAATGAAAATTATAGTTTTAACTAATTAAGGGGTTTTTTTCCTGCCAGGGTGTGGCCGAGTTATCCGGACTGCCGAGTTATCGAGTGCCGAGTTTTCGGGACTCTACTGTATAAGCTTTTCATATTGTGGTTATAATTTAAAACTATGGGGAGGGTGTTGTGAGCGTTCCCGTTTCGCAATACCGCGTTATTAGGGGTAGGAGTACCTCTGTTAGAATACGAGATCGCTAATTTACGAATAAGGTGTTTTTTGTAACCATGCGTTTTTACTATGTCCTCAAGACGTTTAAGCTTTTTTAACGTGTCCTCGTAATTCGTGCAGTGGATTGGTTAAGGCATGAAAGGCAGCTATTTTATAGATATATGGGTCGTATGAGTTCGCTTGTATAAACGATGGAATATGTGATGGTTTATGATAAATATTGGTGTGGAAAACTCTATTTATAATACTGATATTGAGATCTTAAAAGTGTGCCCTTTAATTGGGCTTTATATCAATACTTCTCTTTTTTAAAACAAAACTATCGATCTAACTTTATCAGCTTTTAGCGTGATGATATGATTAACTTTAACTTTATCTTTATTTATTCCGGATACCGCCAGAGCATAATCTGGTTGAATACAGAGATATATCAAAGCACAGGTAAATACATACATAATAACAGAGAGATAACGTACAAACCCTATGACGATAGAGAAGAAGTATGAACAGATGGTGAGATTACCGATACAAATTAACCGATATGATACATAGCTTGAGAGTAGAATAACATGTACAGTAGTATAAAATAGACAATACTAATGATGATAATAAAAATTACACAGATATATGTTACAACAGAACGAATAATGATATGTACAATAATGTGCAGGGAGCAAATGAAAATAGTGCTAGGTGACAGACTTGACCAACTTAATGAATGGGGGAGCGTATGTGATATTTATGAATCAATTGTTTGAATGCTTTGTAGGTGTCACTATCCTTAAAAAGGTCATGAAGTTCACAAGGCCAATTAATACCCCTCTGGCTAAGAGCAAGGGCAAGCTCATGTTCAGCATTATCAGTCATCGGACACATGTATGTATATTGCTCAACCCCATCACGGCAATTACAGATGGTACAGATGTCTGTTGCAGATTTGCCAAACCTGTACAAGTAGGCCCTGAATCTTCCATGCCCAGTGAAGAATTGTGTGGTTTCAAAGTCCGGAATAACCCAGTGGTGAAAAAGGAGGTCATGAATAGATGGGAAAAGTTTCTGGCAAGGCCATTGTAGCTATCCCATCTCTGCTTCCAGAGATCCAAGCCGTAGTTCCAATATTGGAGCTTAAGAAAAGAGGCAGGAAGCACTAAATACTAGAGCCAGAGGTACTAGTTGCAGCCTACCTGGCAAGTAGATCTACATGTTCATTATCTAGGACAACCTGATGACCTCACCCATTCGAGGGAATAGGAGTTTTGAGCACAAGGTATAGAATTTTCCTGACCAGAAGGTAAAGGTTGTTGGGATTCCTAAATGCGTTGATTGCTGAAGCACTATTAGAGTGAATTGTAACTCTACTTCCAGTAAGATTGGCTTCACACCATTGAACAGCCATGTAAATGGCACAGAGTTCTGCCTGGAATATAGAGCAGTTAGGATGAAGAGTGCCAGAATTCTGATATAATTCCTCCTCATTGGCAAAAACGACGAAGGCCGAGCCTGTGTCCTCTGCATTCTTTGATCCATCTGTGAAGATTGTATAATCAGCAGCAACTGTAAAGGATGTCTCAAACCCATATGTCACTGCTGGATGAGGGAGGTTGGTAAACGGTATATCTCTCTCGTTATGAGAGAGATATACCGTTACCTCATTACAGGAGGTAGAGTTCATAATGATGTCTTGGCCTTTCCGAATATGAGAAATATAAACAATATGCCTCAAATGAAGATCCAGAGGTGGTTTCCTACTGATGATCTGAAGAAAATAATTTGAAGCAGTAGTATATGCTCTTTTGAGCCTGAGAAAGGCACTACACTGAGCAGATTGAAGATGAAGCGGTAGTTGTGACTGAAAAAGACACCGCTTTCCCAGACAGCCACAGCATACGAGATAATGGGAATGAAGACCACATTGTAAATACAGTTTAAGGCATCATAATTAAGCCCCTATGTTTTTTAGCAATCCTTTGTAAGTTATTAAATATAAGAGTGATTTTATCAGTAATCTGATGGATGTGGAGACCCCAAGACAGTTTATGCTCCAGGACAACACGAAGAAACCTCAAGTGAGGAACAATGCGAATGGATCGACCCCACGTCTTAATGCATGGAGTGCGAGAGTAAAAATGTAGAGAGTAAGGTTCAGTGAAGACAATACCTTTGGTCTTGTTGGAATTAAATCGTAGCTTATTACAGCTGCCCCACTCACTGACCACAGTAAGGACAGCAGTAGTCCTAGTCTCGAGCTCACGCCTCGAGCTTCCAGGAATAAGGAAAAAAGCATCATCAGCATAAGCCAGAGCACTAATATGCTCACCAAAGTCAGTGTAGAGAAAGTCATTAAACAGGATACACCATAGGAGAGATCCACAAGCAGAACCCTGAGGGCAGCCAAGCTGCAAATGATGGGAAAAAGTGTTAGTACCTGAACTCAAGATGACCTTCCTGTAGGACAGGAAATCCCTGGTTAGCTGGTAGAGATTTGCTGGACACCTGCTCCCTCGCAGCCTGTGTAGAATAAGAAACTACCAAGCAGAATTAAATGCATTTTCCAGGTCGAGACTAATACTCAGAACATATTTAAATGATGAAAGGAGTTCACGTACTTTGGATGTAAGGGCCATCAAAGCATCAACAGTTCTACGCTGTCTTCTAAAACCAAATTGAGAAGGGTGAAGATATCCAATAGACTCCAAATGCAAGGAAAGTCTATTACGCAAAAGTTTGTCAAGGACTTTACCCAGGGCAGAAAGAAGTGAGATGTTGCGGAGGTTGCTAGTGGTTGGCGGCAGAGATTTATCCTTAGGAATCAGCGCAAACAAAGCCCTTTTCCAAGCAATCGGGAAAACACCATGGCTTAAGCAGAGATTGTAAAGATGAAAGAGGAGGTCAGGATGCCTTTGCCACAGACCTCTGACTATGTCAGCAGTAATGTTATCAGGTCCAAATGCTTTTCTGTCCTTGGCTCTTTGAATGATATGTAAAATCTCAGAATGATATGATTGTCCAGAATCCATTTTTTTGCTCTCCAGTAGAAGTTTCCATAAGATTTCTTCCTGCCTCATCTCATTAGAGGATTTTATCTTGAAAGCCGCTTTCTATCGATAAAGTTCTTTTTTGCATTCATCCATGCTGACGATGAGCATCTCAATGTTTGGCATGACAACTTCATTGTAGCAATATCTTGGTTTGTGGGCAAACATAGGTCCATATTTGAAGGCGTCAAGGAGCCAGGATTAGAGCAATATCCCAACGAATCAGTTGTGGGCAAAGTTGTACATCAATATTCGTTGTAGTTTCTTGATGATCCAATATAATTTCTTGCGGTATTTGTGCATGAAATTTCTTTCTAACTTTTTTTGTAGATAAATAACTCGTTGATTCTCATACACAAGTATATTTGGATCTTTGTCAAAAAGAACGTTTTCATATTTAAATTAATTAAGTTTCCCAGTTTATAACGTATAGCTTTTTTGTCGAACGTATGGCTTTTCGAAGGCAAAAATGCTTTAACTTAGGTAATAAGAATTCACATCCTACTGGGAGCCGAATACGGTATACAGACATCGGTAATACCTTGTAATTTCTGCATTCCATCAAGAAGTTGAATTTGGCTCTAGCTTTCGTTAGGGCTAGCACAAATCTTCTATAAAAGTTAGCCGACATTGCTTAATTAGTTGAAAATCTGCAAGCCTGAAATGTATTATACAAAATAGCAACGAATCGCACCTTAAAAGAAATTCCAGAATATTCTATTGCAACTTCTAATCTTAATTATATTAACACACCTGAATTTTTTCCGAGCATAAATTATTTTATTTCTCAAACGTTTTCAACCTACTTATTATAGGCCATCTTTAGTCTTACGATTACTGTTTCAAAATGGAACGCAACGTTTTTCGAATACGTTTTCTTTTAAATTTAAAAGATTTTAAACAATTGTTTATCTAATAATATAAGCCACTGATCACGTGTGTGTATAACTGTAATCTGTAATGGTATGCCTAAAACGCTCACTAGGGGTGCCCTAGCGATGATTTTTAGCTATTGCTAGCAGATAAGCTCGGCGTTACCCGATAGCGAAGATTATGATTATTACATTACAGAAAATCTTACCCGTTTTCACAGAATGCAAAAATTAGCTCTCCCTGATTCCAGACTAATTTGAAAATTTTTAGATGGGGCTAAAAATATGTTCGATTTCCTACAACAACGCAAAAAACCTCACCTGCCCCTGTAAATCTGCAGATTGTTTTCTCTTAACACTTCTATTACTGAACAATTCCATTGTTGAAGCGATAATCCTGTCTCTCTCCCCCGTGGGGGGATTTCGAAAAATCTCTACTTACAAGGGAACTGTCAGAGTGTCTTCTAATAAATTTTAATAAAATTTAGTTAATAACTACGTTAAAAGTATACAAACTCTATTTTAAATTTGTATCATTGACTAAAAGTGTTGATCAGAGTTATTAGCAATCAAATGTTGCACTACTTTATAGTAGTTTAACACAGTTATGCAAATTTTAAGAAGTGAAAGGGTCGCGGAGGAAGACGGCGATATTACATTTAGAATAAATTCTGGAATTTTCAAAAATGGTTGAAGAATTAATAAAATTTTGTATACTTTTAACGTAGTTATTAACTAAATTTTATTAAAATTTATTAGAAGACACTCCGACAGNTGTGCAATACCGATTATGCCGCCCCCTGTTTAACTACGACTACCTACACTGAGCTTGCCAGAAAGGCTCTTTAGTGTTGTCTCTTAAGGGTGTGAAAAAAGAAAAGAAATACTTTACAAAGAAAAACTATTTATTTTTATTACTAAATTATTTTTGTTTTCTTAGATGTAAAACCATATAAATATTTATCTACAGAAATTTAACTCTTCTTGCCTTTATGTTTGCGAAATCTGCTATCAATTTTCTTGTATCCAAGCTGTCTAAGATTTCATGTTCAATTGAAACTATAGCTAAATTACTTAGTCTTTGCTGGTGCATTGTTGATCTTAAATAGTTTTTTTTATAATTTCTAACTTTGAAAAGGACCTTTCACTAAATGCAACTGAAACCGGCAATGTAAGTAATATTCTTAGTGCTATTGCTGTGTTCGGAAATGTTGAAATTAAGTCATTAATAAAAATATATTGTAATAGGGTTTGTTGATCATTAGATTGGTTTCCTGGAAAATGCAACTTTAAAGTATTGATTTCATTAAAAAATCAATACCGTCAATGTCTGTTTCACAACTTGAATCGTCTTTAAGAAGTGGCGTAGCGTGGGTGTCAGCTGCCCAGCAGAGGAAAATTTCGCTGCCCCCTTATTTATGTATCTCAATTTAAAAGAATAAATTCAGTTTCGTCACAGAATAAGTAATAAAAAATTCCGTGCTCATTTCAATCGGTCTGAATCATAGGTGCGACAAAAATATGGAATGAAATGGTTCAAATTTTTACAAGATATTATTATTATTTATTGTGAAATTTTGCCGCCCCCTAAAAAATGCCGCTTGGGACGGGGCCCACTACGCTACGCCACTGCCTTTAAGCTTCAGATTTAAATCCTAACCAAGTTAAAATATCATTAATTATACTTAGACCCATGTCAGAAGAGTTATTAACAAAATAATTGCAATTTGATATGGGATAGAACTGTTCGAATGCGTACAAGTACAAATTGAGAAGGATGCACTGTGGGGATTCCCTATTTTCGCCAGTCCTGTCAACTTCTGATATAGTGCATGACTATGGGTACTTGGCATTCGAACGCTGCCGGATGGTTCAACCTGCCGACAAACATTTCGCATTGCATCTTAATTTTGATAAATGCCAATAGAAGCGTTGTTAACGCTATAATATAAATAAGAATATAGTAATTGCACGCCGGTTGAATTTTTTTCTACATGCGAAGACATTTCTTATGCTATAAGTAGGGTGGGTATTATGACAATGACTGAATATTACGTGACCGATCACTCGATTTGCTGCCCCCTAGACGTGCCGCCTGCGTGTGGTGCACGCCTTGCACGCCTACTTACCGCGGGCATGGTCATTGTGTTTACAGCTGAATAACCTTGAGAACAGCTGGTGTTGGATTTCCCGGGATATTCTCATAGAAGTCTCAGGAGGAGAAGGGTTTAAAGTAGAATGAATACTAGCTGGCCGTATATTTTGAAATATTTTTAAAAAATTACGTTTTTTATTGCGATTTTCGACCCCCGACTTAATTAAACGTATATNTTTGCATAACTGTGTTAAACTACTATAAAGTAGTGCAACATTTGATTGCTAATAACTCTGATCAACACTTTTAGTCAATGATACAAATTTAAAATAGAGTTTGTATACTTTTAACGTAGTTATTAACTAAATTTTATTAAAGTTTATTAGAAGACACTCCGACAGTTGTTAGCGTGCGTTTTCGAATCGTAGCCTGTGTACCAAATTTCAACTTTGAACTTCTAACCGTTTGGGTTCTGCGCTTATTATTATTATAATCAACCCGTCTCGATTATATATATAGATTAGTTGAAACTGATGTTCGAATTCACGACGGATCTTGCTTTATATACCTCCACCAATGGATAGTCCCACCCATTCAAAAAAGGCTTCGAATGGTCCACAATGTTCCAGAACATTCCACAACATTCGAAAGTGTTTTGGAATGATCCATAATGATCTGGGATGTTCTGGGATGTTCCCGAACGTCCAGAACATCCCGAAACATTCTGGAATGTTGTAAAATGCTATCGAATGTTCTGGACTTTTCTATTTTTATTTTGTACAATTAAGAAGGGCTATCCTTTTAGCTAGGAGTTTGCCTTGTAAGAAAAACGTTTCTTGTTCGATCATCTTTAATCTGACTTGTAAATAATAAAGGTTTGTTCTTATATTGTTTTCTATGGATATAAACATTCTTAAGCATTGCTGCCATTGACAGAAAGTAGAATTCGTAATTATAATGTACAGTTTAATACTTTTGAAAATCTTTACTATATCGCATACTTTTACATTTCATAATTGCTGTTCATTCTTGCAAGTAACTCGAATTTATAAAATAATCTGAAACGTCTATACAAACTGTTTTCATTTTGTTAAAATGTTAAACAATATTCTTATAATGTACTAGCTTAACCGTCGCGCATTGCTGCGATCTCAGAAAAGACGAAATTCAAGCAAACTCGTTATGATAAAATTAAATTTACATTTTATCATTTTCATTGAAACTTATTATTATTATATTATCATTATTATTATTCATTTTCGTCGGGAAAACATTTCAAAGTGTTGATTTATTTCTATTTATTTATTGGAGTGCTTGTGGATACACGATATTTTCTGTTTTTTCGTCTGGTGCGTACACGAATAAATCAGGTTTTCTGACGCGTGAGTTGGCCACATACAGTTGTCCATGCGAAGAGCACGGATTCTCCAAATTTAGCCCACACACTCGCAGCGATTGTCAGAAGCGCGATATTCCCCATTTTTATATATATTTTTTTAATCCTTTATAATTTTAATTATTTCATTGCTCCTTCCTCTCTTCCTTGGCACTTTGTGAAATTTCTGATAGTTGGATAATAAACCGTTTTATTGTAATTTGTCTTTTAAAATTATTTTGAGTCGATATTAAAATTTGGAAAAGAAGGATTCCTAGATCGGTAAATTAGGCTAATTTCCTCCTACGACTTCGGTTGTTGTTCGGGGTACAGTTAAGGTTTTAACAAAGTTCGAGCGAATACATAATTAGCAAGAAAAGTTGAAATAAAGTGACTAACAAAAATTATTACAACTATCGTAAATAACAGTTCACAAATGTATATATAGAGATATTTTTTGAAGGAGAGGAAATGGTCTTCGCAATTTGAAATCGATCGAAATCATGATGCTCGTATACACTCGCGTTATCTATCATAGGATAAATGTACTATGTCAAAAACCTTCTCGGGAGTGTATTGAAAAACTTCCCAAAGTTGCATGGCAATCGGATAAACGTGTGGTAATGCATGAAAGACATACAGACAGAAACACAGACATACATTCATTTATATATATATAGATTATGTACTATAATAAAAATAATGTACAAGTGGTTAATGTACAAAGTAACATACGGAAAATTTGTAAATAATGTACAAAGTAACATACGGAAAATTATCAAATATGTCTTAATCGAAATAAGAAAATTATCACCTGCTTTTGTTACCGTTCTGTTTCTATAAAAGTAAAAAATTCTGTGTTTTTATTTCAATTATTTTGATTTAGGCTACACGAAAATCACGACCCACGTATAAAATTCCGCATTGAGCAGACATTGACGATGTGTTCAACGTTAATTCCACAGTTTCGGTCATTCGAATAATGCCAGCGTTGTCATCTAATAGAAAGACACGGAAAATTTCAAGCGACCAGCCGGTTTGTGACCCGCAAACCCGCAATCAATAAGTAAAGTTTTAAAAATAATTTTCACCCGATATTGAATTGCATGAGCAATGCGATTTGTGAAATGCAGATATTTAATTTTTATGATTTATAACTTCCGCCCTGTACACACTAGCGGGATCTTATTAGCAAGTCCATTTTGGACTTTGTCAGGACCATAATCCGGAGACGGTTGGTTAGAAACGGTGTCAGTCATAACCAGACAGACCATGCCCGAAAAATTACCGAAAGTTTTTGATTCCATCAAATTCGCCACGGGTGCCTCATAGAGGCAGGCTGCTTCCTTAATAGTTCGGCCGTCCGGTGGTCACTAATTTTTAACGATTTAAATCATTTTCACTTAAATATATAATTTGCATTAATATGTAATGTAATTAATTAAATAAAACGTTGTTGATTAATAAAAAGAAAGATCGTATTTTTCAATTATAAAATACATTTAATTCACAGATTATAAGTCTCATACATTACACATACAATATGTTAAGTTAATTATAATGCAGATAATTCTATCGATAGGTGTAATTTTTTATCTGTAGATTACGTAAATGAGGAATTTACGAAGACCTCGAATAGCATCAAAGAAGATATGAATTTTGCTCTCTATGTGGATATCACCTCTTATTTTAACTCAATTTTAAACATCAAATTTATTCTAAGTTGGTACTAAGTATGATAAACGTGTTTACTTTCATCTATTAAAATATAAAATACGAATTAAAACGTTATACAACAATTAAATGTTAATTAAAACGAATTACAACAATTAAATGTTAAGTAAAACAAATTACAACAATTTCTTACATCGTTATTTTAGTAAATTACTGAATTTTTTTGGTAATATTACTAAATGTAATAATACAGTTGACTGATGCTGGGAAAGTAATTACATTACATTGTTTTTAGTTTACTCCTCTCTGCTTCACATCGATTTAAAATTTAAAAGATTAAGTGTAGAAATACACGCAGAGATGTTTACAGTGAGTTGAAGAATTCATATAACGAAACAAAATACAATTTGCCAAGGAGAGATCCTTTCCGGGAAAACTTTCTAAGAAAAACTGGTCCCTATTCAAGTTTTAGACACGTGGAGAAAACCCGGGATATTGCACACGGCCAGGCTCTTTAATGGGGTGAGAAACCGAAACCAACTACCAAAATTCGATTATTTTTCAGTCGGACACTACTCGTAAAAGTGCAACATTCTCCCAATGTTTTACATTAGAAAATATTTTCGTGTACTTGACAGACACATTTTAAAAATATAACTAGATAAAACGTGAAAAGAATGGCTGCATATAGTTCTATAGTGCTGCCAGGTTGGGTAGTCGTGTTTGCTACCTTAACAGATGTATTTTCAATTCAGAAACCACAAGCAAGACATTTATACGTATTGTATTTTTGTATTTGCGATTCTTTTTTGTTATTATACATTTACGATAAACTAATATTGAAGATACGTTTGTTGAATTTTAATTTACTTCGTTAATCATTTTAAAAAATGACCTATAAAAAAGCAAAATGTGCTGTTTTAAAGCGATTAATTGTAACCGAGTAAATATCCGTTCGAACAATAACAGATTGCTTCTAAAAGCCTTCAGATAGCGACGTCACGTAACATTACTTTAGCCATACACTTATTATAGCATCTACAGCGTTGCTGTTCGCTAAATGCCTCCACATATGTAAAATTTGTAAAGATTGATGCCGTGCAGTTTATGCTGAAATTGCTGTAACATATAACTCAATGTTTCTATTTGAGTAACTTTCCAAGAATTATTTCAGTGAGGAAACAAGCAAAGGACAAAGTGTATCCTATAACGAGGATTCCGAGTGCACCGTATAAATCTGCTACAGATAAAGGTTTTGCCGCATCTTTAAAACTGGGTACATTAAGAACTTTTTCAATTCTAAAAATTTTTGCCTCAAATATTCTTCGCATTCTAGAAATATACAAATAATTTGTAATGGTTGCGATGCTTTAAAATATTTGATCATTTGTAAATTATCAACTTACACTTTGTTAAATTGTTTTCTATACGGAAATCCTTTTCTCATGGCATATCCTTTATAAACTGTAGAAAGAACATCATCAGATTTCACATAGTTTGACCCAAAAGAACCCTCAACAACATTTTCAATGCTAGAAATTCCAATAACCACCATTCGATCTTTTTTAAGCATGTCGCGAAACAATATATTTCCAAGATGCTTCGCTTCACGATAATTTTTAGATTTGGTATCTGCTACATACGCTAAAAACTTTTTCCTGAAACTAAGATTATGTCTAACCCTTAAAGTCAAATTGAACATATGTTTTTCGCTTTCTTTAATAAAAATTTCTGCGTGTTTTGTTCCTGACTCCTACAAAGAAAAAAAAACAAATTTCATTAATTAATATTTTTTGCAAATCAGTTTCTACAAATTAGGAAATACGGGATGGTTAGAATTAAACTAACGTTATTCAGACATGCAAAGAAACTGCTCCACTGAACAAACACGAAGAAAACTCGGCACACCTGACTGCAGTTCGTAAGGGAGAGATAAAAATAGAAAAATTTAGTTGTAATTGTTACCACCAAGGAAAATGTGGCGCTGCAAGGATGACAGTTTTAAGACAGTGGACAACATTTTATTACAAGAATAACTTTAGTTTCAACTATCTAATGTTACTTTTGGAAGGAATATAAAGACATGTCCTACTATTTTGTTCTTCACCACCGATAAGGTGTGCACACGCTCCGCTTAACACAATCTTTTAAATAAATTCACGGCCATAAATATACACTTTCGATCGAATACTAACACATTTTCTCCTGATGGTGAAAATTTCAATTAATTTTCACTCATAATCCTCTTCCTTCTGATCCAGATTGCATGCCTACCCTGTTTCATTCAGTTCGGTTCAACAGAGACTGAGAAGTATCAGTTTAATTCTAACCACCCTGTAGTTTTATCTTCATCTTACAAAATTAAACGTGACAAAATAAAATGTTCGCATTGTTTACAACGTTTAACAATCGCAATTCGAATAATTTCAATTTGAAAATTTTATAATTTTACGTTAAAAATTCATATCTGATGATAATTATATTCAGTTTTTTTTTTTAAATTTCTAGTAAAGGAACCACTTAATATAAGACAAGAAAACATCCTTTTAAATAATTTATAATCAAATAATTTTCAATTGCACATAAACATAATACTTTACTAATATAATACTTAAAATAAAAATAATTATTTTTCTGCGTGAGTGTCAGAAATCACCAATAAAGATAATTACTTAAATATATAAAACGATTTTATTTATGCAAAATAATATATTTTGTATTTCCTGTTTACATCAGTAAGAATGTTATTCAAAATTAGAAATCTCTGTGAAACATTTAATAAAAAATTTGCCAAAGTCACAGTTTTGATCATAAACCATATTTTACAGTGATTTAAGAGAGTAATTATATAATTTATTTTAATGTCTGAACAATAGAAAATAAGTATAATACAGTAATTATTTATTGTGACGTAATCACAATACCGGACTGCAAATTTTAATCATATTTGAAATGTTTAATCAATTTAAAATATATTCTCTCCACTTGAAATTCGTAGTGTCTTTCCCTTGTACATAGGCTTAATACTTTTCCTGTTATCAAGCTCCAGTAAAAAATATTTTTCCTGTTAGCAACAGTCACGCCATTGTTTATTTAATTCTTTACAGGGGAAAACTTTGAGTAAAATAATATGATTTTGCATCTCAAGTTCATATACCGTAAATCCGGACCTCCTTTCCCAGACGCGTCCTTATCGAGTCTCGGATTTAATCTATCTATCTACATTCTCGAGATTAAGGAAAGAAAGACAGACAGACAGACAGAGAAAAGTGGGAATTTACAGGTCAACAATGTTTTAACTGTAGCACAATAAATAAAAATTGCCAGGTCATATATGACATTTACAGAAAAATATATTTTCTTTGACTATACTACATAGATGAGTCTTAGTCCATTTTTTCTCCTTTCACACGCTATACGAGGCAATAACAATTCTATCGGTGAAGTCGACCTTTTTTTGTAGGCTACCATTCACCTCGTGTAGCGGGTGAAAGGACAAAAATTAGACTAAGACTCATCTATGTAGTATAGTCACAGAAAATATATTCTTCTGTAAACGTAGCACAATATATTTATATCAATCAAAATAAACAATGCAAAAATGAAATATTAGAACATTTAAAGTACTCATTTACATTTAAGTATCGATTTAAGTAAACATGTGGAAGCACTACACATGTATATTCTCGTCTTTTAATGGCTCTTGCTAATTCGTCGAATGTGTTCGGAACCGGTTCGTCAGTCTGTACGGCCATAAATGACGTCAATATTCCGGCGTAACCCCAGATCAAGACTGTTGTCATGAGCAACCAGATGCCAAATGCTATTCTAGAAGATGAACGATTCACGTTGTTGCAGTCGACTCCTGAAAATTAACGTCAAAGATTATAATTCAATATTATAAATCAGAAAACAGTGTATATTGTGTAGACTTACCTTGATACATTAACGTTGTCATCAAATACCAGTACGTTCTCCTTATAGTCCAAGGTTCCCCTTTATTGTCTTTCACGAATTTCCGGAATATTAATCCAAAGACTATAATGGTAAACATGAAGGCCAACCAAACCTTTCACGGAACAATAAAGAAAAGTAAATAATACGTTTTAGAGAAAGTAATTTTCCACCGGATTTAAGAAATTTTACATGACTTATCAAGAAATTTCTACCTGTTTTGTGAACGGGTTCACAACTGATTGCCAAGTAAGTTTCTTTTTGTGCCGCTTCATATAGAAATGAATTGGCTGGACGTCCGAGACTATTGAGAAGTCCACACGTTGAAATGTCTTGATAGATAGTGCAATAGGATTTGTCATAATATCTGCCAACTACATTGTGACAAAACAATAAACTTACACATTCTTTTTACGTTATTAGTACATGTACACCATCGAACTTCCGGCAATTGTTGGTATATCTTCTCCTTTAATTCGGAAGAAATTACTAGAGAGAACTTGCAATTCTCTCGGCACCAGACTAGTTAATTGGGCAGCCACATTTGGCGCTGTATGTACGGAGAGTTTATTTATATTATATACGTTGCTTTTTTTTCGTGGTGGTACAACAATCTGTGAAATTCTTAGTTTATTTTGCTTAAAATTAATTCCAGTAATGGCTTCACGACAGAAAACAGTTAATGGTGGTATCAAACGTAAACTCAGTTTTTATCGTCCAAGATAAAGAATTGTCTTCTGAGTGATTAGTGTCGCCTTAAATTCGTCTATTGATAACAACAACCTTATTTCTCATGATTATTAAAGTAGAACTGTTAAAACAAGGGTTTCAGTGCGTAATCATGTAATATCTATGGTATGGTTCATCAGCTATACAATACCTGTATTTTATTTACGTAGTTATTTAGTTTGAGTTTGTAGTAGCCCATGATATAATTTTGGACACGTGGGAAGTGTCTAATTTGTGGGTTGGAGGCATGTTGATTAATTATTATTATATGTGGTCACGGATGGTCCGTGTGAGGACCCTACCGAGGTCCGAAATCATGTAAATCGCGGTATTATTATTTACACATAAGAATACCGCGATTTACATGATTTCGAATACCTTTGAAAAAGGGTACCCTATGACCATTGGCTTTTTTCAGGAATACCCTTAAAAAAGGCCAATGGTCATAGGGTCGTATAGTTAAATAAAATAAAATAAAATAAAATAAATAATAACGATAGATAAATATGAGAGGGAGAGGAAAATCCCTTAATCCAAACAACGCGGCACAAAATGCAGACAACGAGTCTCGGATGACTCCAACACGTTTTAAACGAAGTGTCAATGTCAGAATGTAAAGTTATAAGTCAGAGACAAGTGGGCATATATAGGTAGCTTTGACGCAAGCGCTCATAAACAATCAATCTAGGGAAACAATTTCGGAAAAGAGGGAAAGATTTAAGATAGATAAATCATCGCATATAATCGTTCGAGTACCCAGTTGACAGAAATCGCCAGTAATGGAGCTAAATTATGAGCCCGAGTCTTGCAATTTTGTCAACAGTCCCCAAGAACAATCGAGAGAAAGGCGTCGAGCTGACACCTGGAATCGGACCTTTTCCGTGAATCGAGTCGGTCTCGGTTTTCCCAAAAAGAAAAGAGAAAAAAATCGGGAAGCGAGGAAGGGGACGAATCAAGGAGCCAATCAGAAGTCCGAATAGTGGGAAAAAAACTATAAAAATCCGAAATTCAAGGTCGGAAGGAGCTCTCCTTTGTATTACACGAAAGGTCGTGACCTATATTGTGGTGTGTCGTCGCCACGAACTTTGGACTCCTCCGCTTCCTCCTTCCGATCGTCCGCCTTGCGCAACGACCTCATCTCGTTTGCCCCGGGGCCAGACAGACGCCGAAGTTCTCGCCTCTCCGCCTCTCCGACAAGAAGAACCTAGTGAAGGACTGTCGATTGTCGATGTAAGCATAAATGTTAACAAATAAATGGCTTTCTTGCTTAGAGCACTTGTCATCATTTTCCTCCTCCGTCACAGCCTACATACAACCTCCCTTAGGTTCATCCTGACGCGGGATTAACTAATCCCACCTAAAAAAAGGCAACCTTACGCAGATTCCGTGAAGTGGGTTTTCAAGTCCCCTATCTCCACCGGGTCGGCTACCTTATATCTGGAAAACAATTAATCTTGCAAGGCTTTGAAACGAATAGTGTCGGAAATTCGGTGGTGTACTTATATTAGTTCGACTATTTTATAAAATGATAAATATCAAATAAATCAGTAAAATAAAATTGGAATTCTGAGTTTTATCAGATCTTCCGTTGGATAAATTCTATTAATTATTATAATTTTTTACGTCCCACGAATAACTACATAGTGCCTATTAAACGTTGCAATGAACACGTAATTTATATTTTATGTATAATAGAAATTAATTAATTAAATGCAATTCGATTTCTTCATATTGCAGATCTCAAATGTGAGATGTTTTTTGGCATTTTTCAAGATTGCATGATAGGTATATTGTCAGTTGTTTCCAGCGAAGCGGCATGGCTTTGAAGACTGTATATCGCGAGAAGCTATAGCGTTTAATGACACCTCGCTAATTGCACGTTTTTAAAAATTTATATTGGTACAGTGAACCAGATCTCCCGTTTCAAGATCGGAACTGTACGAGAGAATTTATCACCCATATAACTATTGCAATTTATTTTCTTTTGTAGAGACAATTTATTCAATAGAATAATTTATTTTATTTGTTAATTCTTTCGATTTCGCCGCTTAAAATCCTATTCAAATATTTAATAAAAGTTATATCAAAAATATTTTTTTATGAACTAAATTCAAATGGATAGAATTTTTCAGGAATACAGTGGAACCTTGGCATACGACCTTAATTCGTTCCTGATGTTTGGACTTATACCGAATTGGACTTATATCAAACCAATCTTTCCCATAAGAAGTAATGTAAAAATGATTAATCCATTGTCGTGTAAAAAACTGGCTGGCTTTAAAGACCTCGCTTTGCCCCCACCAGTGGGCGAGTGGTCTCCATTTCCGCTCATCGTAGTGGTGACCAGACCCTAAATACTGGGAGGTTCGTCGTGGGTTCGCGCCACGGTCGGACAGGCTGGCTGCTTGGAGTTTTCCGGGTTTTCTCCTTGCCTATAACGACTGAATAGGAGGCCAGTTCCCCATAAAAGTCCTCCCGGAAGGCATTTATTTCCCGCGCGTACGTATGGCTGTTCGATACAGCCGGCTAATCGGTCGCCTAGCGATCATACACATACACAAGTCTACTCGGAGAAAGAGCCTACATTGAGCTAAAATCTCCATATAAAC